TTACTCCGCATGGACTCCTACGACAGTTCATTTGCTTAGAGTGACTCTAGTCACTTCTCCGACTAGTCCTGGTGTTTTGGTAAGGTCTTACCCCTGCCCAGCAAACATAGTCCCTCCTTACATGAGCACCAATGGGTTTCACTGTAGATGTTTGTTTTATTGGCATCTCCTCCTTAAGGTTTTTACTCAAATCTCACCGTGTCAGTGAGGTCTGCCCTGACTTTTATTTGCTGCTGCAACCTGGCCATTTCCCCCGCCCTAAAATTGTTTTTATCCTGTTCAACTTCTTTTTTTGCCCATTGCACTTACTGCCTTCTCACATGTCATGTGATTGTAGTCTATCGTCAAATAATGTAAGCTCCATGCTTAAAAGAATATAAGACCTCATGGTTGTACCCCCAAATGCGTGACACTTAGTATTGTGCCCAGTATACCTTTTTAATGAGTGTTTGGAAGTCATGGCTGTATACGTGCATGCTGTTGTCAACGGCAAGTACGTGGCGTGACATTTAACCTCGGAAACTTGTGGGTTGTGAAGAGGACAGCTCTTGTCCTGAGCCCATCTGATGCTACTACCTGTCTCTAATGCAGTGAGGCTGAGACGCAGAGCCAGATAACTCTTGCTTATAAATTTGTTTTCCTAAGGGGAATTTCGCTCGCTAATTTAAGGCAGCTATATAATTTAACTTCGGAGTCGTTTCTCATTTGAGTCACTTCTTGTTTGCCATCTGGCCGTGTAATTACTTGTAAGTAAGGCTATGTGTAGGATGAGAGAACACAAATTGGAAATCTGTGATAATATGTATGGTGAGATGATAATATGTGTGTTTTACTTTTTTGTTGGCTTTGTTTTTGCTGTTGTCCAAAATCTAAGATTAAGGGTGTGGGGGGTGGCAGGGAACATTTGGGGAGGAATCATTCCAAAGCTTTCCCTAGAGGGAGCCCCTTATATAAATTTTCTTCTTTGACTAAGAGCTTTTGTTATAAACTAAATGTTTTGCATTAGTGGATTATTACATTTTTCCATTCATTTATAAGTCTGGCCCTAAGCTATGAAACAAGAGGTTGTCTAACATGTCTCCAGAACCGTTCTGCCATGAATTGAAAGTCGGCAGAGGTAAAGGATCGTTCTTTCCGTTGGTCCGTTTTCATAGTATTTCCCGACCTGGGTTTTCCTTTTTGTTCCAGTCCCTTTACCCCAGAAGGTATTTTTCTAGTGCCGGCTTGTGTATTATTATTTCTGATTCTTCCCTTTCTATTTCTTTCCCCAGTTCTGGGAGGTTAATTGCAAATGGACAGAAGAACCAAATCCAGTAATGCGTATTATTCAAGTTAAAGAGAAACGTAAATAATGTTTGTTTGGAATTACTATTCTGGGGGGGGGGGAGGAGTGTAGAGTCAAATTTAAATCATTACAGTACAATTACAATGCTGATTCTCAGTCACTGGGAAAAAAAAAATCAAAACCAAAACCAAACAAACAAAAACCAACTTGGTAAGAAGCCAGGAGGTACTAATTTCCATGAAAATGCAACGAAGTCATCATTTACAGCTCTGAGGAGATTCTGTCGTAAAGTTTTACTGCTTGTAAAGGTTCCTTTGGTATGGGAGGCAGAGCCTGGGGGCGTGGTCGGGGAAACAATAGTTTGGCTCTTCCCCCCCACACCCCCACCAAATCAGTTCAAATGCCTGAATGAACTGGAGAGTCCAAGAATCAAAACGTACTTGCTGTAAGACTCTTGTGGGCTCCAGTAAAAAAGATCTGGATGTTCCTAGTAGCCTAGTGAAAATGGGGCACACATTTGCTTCGCCTTGACTTGTGTAGAGGAAAATCTGCACTGTTTTTGTGGACTCCAGAGAGGAGAAACTTCTGATCTGTTGGAGAGAAAGTGAATAAGTGAGCACCGAGGCAGAAAGACTGATGTGGCTATCATGCAAATAAGAATTGTGATTGGCTTTCTCTTTCTTTCTGTACACTTTGTCACTGCGGCTCTCAGCCTTAAAGATTAGGTTTCACTGGGAGCTTTTCAGGTTCAAGGACTGTTAATGGCTTGAAACTGCGTGACAATAAACTCAGCCTCAACATTACATCAGCCCCCCCGGCAGATGTCTAAGGATTTGAGACTGGAAGAAGAAAGTTAGAATCTGGAGCGGAAGGATACAGCTCGCCACCTGCTTGATGGGTTGAGCTTCTAATGTGATTTAAATTTCTAAGCTCTATGCAGGCATCTGGAAATGGTGGTCTTCATTAATGCAAAAATCAAGTCTTTAATTAAACTTTTTAAGAAAAAAAGTAAGTAATTTCTCCCCCACCGCCCGTGGTGTGTGTGTGTGTGTGTGTGTGTGTGTGTGTGTGTTTTATGTACTACATCTTTTTGCGTGATGAAATTAAAATGTGAAACAATATAATTAGCACAAATTAAACTCTATTCTTCACCAGGTTGTTCAAATACCTCAGATTTTATAACTCTAGGGCAGAATTGTGTGATTTTAGCATGTCTTACTTATTTCTGGTTGGGATTTTAGGTGAATTTGCTTCTTTTGTGCTTCTCAAAAGAAGCCCTTTGAAAAAGGGGGAAAAAACCTTGTGTTTACCTTACGTCCACCTTGATATATGGTTTTTTGGTTCTTTGGCTTACTGTGCAGGGAGGCCGTGTGTGATCTATCACGTATTTTTGATGGGGATGATCCTCTAAAACTCCCTGGAACTGTCTGTTATGTATTTTAGAGCTCGAGGACAAACTCCGTCTAGACTGTTCAGTCACTGTATAGAGTACAGCTTTTGTGGCATGGTTGCATTGTGTACTTACCGGTGTTTTAAATTTCCTTAATTCAGGTGCTTCTTCATTCTTTGCAGAGTACAAATTTTACAAACACATGGTTTTAATTTTACATAGATGTGGGATTAGTTTAATGTAGTTTTTCGACCAGTAATTTAAACTAGCTAAATGTGGATGGGTTAGAGAACTGGTAAGAGAGATACTGGAAAAAGCAACAAAAAACAGCACTCTCGGCTCATTCTCTGTAGCTCCCTTGGTGGAAGGGTATCTTTGGACGGATAGATTAAAATCTGCCCTGGCAAGAGTGAGATGCTCCAGAGAAGAGACAACTGTCCTTTCATAGGAGCCAGTTGGTAGCTGCACAATGGGGCTGATGGTATGATTGCACAGACACAAGAACCATTACTTGGATTTGATTTGTAATTGGTAAATGGGAAGTTTCGCTTTTCAATATTTTCCAACCATGAGGCATGGTAATTCAGTCTCAAATAAATGCCCATCGGCACAAAACATTGCAGTTAAACCACGGCTACCCTTTGGAGGACATGTGGTGAGTTGCGCGCTGCTCAAGATTCCCAGGCACATACATAAGGACTAAGTCACGGCTTTGTGGATTTTATGTATTCAGATTGATAGTTACAAGCACCATGCAAAACATTGTTCAACCAGAGGTTACGTGAAATACCAGGTGCCTAATTTACATGCTGTTCCTGTCAACCATTAAAACAGCAGAAAGCACACAGACGTTTCTGTTTTTAGCTGATGTCTAGTTCTCCATGTTTATTTTCCCATTTAGCAATTTATGGAGAAGGTGGGGTGATTTGAGAAATGAATTATTTGGAGACGAGACTTGCAGCATTTAACAGCTATAGAAAAGATGGGCTATGGGGGAGAGCTACCCTGTGACTCAGGTGCCTAGGGGCACTAAGAAAGGCCAGGTTCCCCTTCAGCCATAGCTATAAAGTCAGGGGCCTCGTTAGAGTAACTTCACTGCTCCTGCTACACTCATGCTTCACATGTATTATTTCATATGATCTTTATAGTAGCTCTAATACGGTGCTGTTAGGTACTTTGACTTAATTTGAAATGTGTCCAAATAGAAGAGTTCAGTAGTTCATGCATGCTTGTTCATTTTATCTTGAACACTAAGACACTTAGTCTGTGTTCTCAGGAAAAAATGAAATAGACACCGAGATCCCAAGCCCTTGGAGGAATCAAGGAAAATTATTATAGAGATTTAGGGTACTCGCGTGATTACCTATCATTTCCTCCTCTGACATCCTCTTTTGTGTTAGGAAGATTCAACTGAATTGGATTATTTTGGGAAAAGTTAATTGCATTGGAATTAAATTTTTTAATATAAAAGTATTCTATGGAAAGAAAAGTATTCTACGAAAGCAAGAAATGTAGAGAAAATTTTGTCACACAAATTGATTTCTACTTCTATTAGATATGCTATTTAAATGTATTTTGACATACTGAATATGCTTAATTTTTTTTAAAAATTGTGTTTATTACAGTGATGTCTTAAAGTAATGCTTTAGAGGGGACAGATTTGGTCTCAAACTCTTAGTAGGAAATTTGTATTTGTCTTGGCAATCTAACATTTAGTGATGCAATGGCATTGTATGATTAGATAATATATACTCGTTATGGTGGAGTTAAGTAGGAATTGGAGGTCTCTATCAATTTTCTTTTCTTTTTTTTTAAATTTATTTTGAGAGAGAGCGAGTGTGCATGTACACGCAAGCAGAGGAGGGGCTGAGAGAATCCTAAGCAGGCTCCACACTATCGGCACAGAGCCCGACGTGGGCCTCGATCTCATGAACTGTGAGATCACTACCCGAGCCGAAATCGGGTCGGACGCTTAACCCGCTGAGCCACCCTGGCGCCCCTCTATCAGTTTTCTTAATTGTTTTCTAACGTTGGAGCAGAGGAAGTGCCTAAAATGCTGGAAAGCCATCAACTGAGGAAGCAATTCTACCAAAACGTTGTGGGGGGTGATGGACAGTTTCAGCTTTCCCTTTAGGGGCAAAACACTGTGTGTGCAGGACCCCTGGAGCCTAAGGTTAACTCTTATTCAGAATTTGCTCCCCTTCCCCCTTGTCGGCCCTTACCCCGTGGGTGTGTTAGGCACCAGAAACCCATCTTGACGTAAAATATTTGCAGCCACTGCAGCTTATTTTGACCCTGTAATTTATTCTGCCTTTCTTTCTGCAGCTGTTTCCAACCTAGACGAGGAGAGTAGATGGACAGTCCACTACACGGCCCCATGGCACCAGCAGGAGAACGTGTTCCTTCCCGCCACGAGACCGCCCTGTGTGGAGGACCTGCACCGCCAGGCCAAGCTCAACCTCAAATCAGTATTGAGGGGTAAGATCGCATGCTGCCAGCTTGCGGTTCTTGGATCACCGACCGCTAGAAATGAAAGCACAAATTTGATTGCTATTTGTAAAAGAAGACCTATTTATAGAGAACATACAGTCCGCTGTTTCTTTCAAGGTATCATGAATACTTAACAACCTAATACGAGCCCTCGATGTCCTGGTTTCTGTGGGAACCTGCCAGTTTACAGACACGCAGATCTGTCCTCAAAGGCTCCACCCCTGCTTAGAAACTCTCTCCCGTGTTCAAGCCACGGGTACCAGTTGAATCCAAATGAACCCTGCTTACATGGGAAGCTTTGCCATCACCTTTCTTGAGCCATCGGAAGTATTCAAAGCAAATTTGTTACAGCTAATACTTTCTAGTGGTCTGTTTCTGCTTCGTTCGAGTTGGGGGAAAAGGGGACCTACATACAGACTCTGAAAGCGCTCACAGTGGTTTGTTTTATCAGAATGTGGGCGGCACCCAGCTGGTCTGCTATTAAGCATAGGTTCTGTCAACAGACGGGCAGACAACGCAGTGGCCGGTGAGAAATACAGGAAGCGTGTGCTCCTGTATCTAGTTTAAAATTTTCATTTTCGCTTCACCTTACCGTGGATGTGAAGGAATCTGAATGTGTGGCAGGGAGGGCTTCTCAAAAGTGATAAAGAAGAGGGGTCCCTGGGTGGCTCAGTCGGTTAAGTGTCCAGCTCTCGGTTTCAGCTCAGATCATGTTTGTGAGTTCGAGTCCCACATCGGGCTCCACATTGACAGACAGTGTGGGAGCCGGCTTGGGATTCTCTCCCTCCTCTCTGTCTGGCCCTCCCCTGCTCACATGCTGTCTCGCTCTCTCTCTCTCTCTCTCAAAAAAAAAAAAAAAAAAAAAAAAAAAAAAAAAAGTGATGAAGAAGGGAAGAAGTTCTTTAAACGAAGGAGTGTCCTTTAAGATTCAGAGACTTTTTTCTTAAAACAGCAAAACTAATGTTCTTACTCTACCACCAGTTTTCTCCTACCAGGCAATATTTGGGGCGTAGTTTTATTTAAAAAGTACTTGTTGGGGCGCCTGGGTGGCACAGTCGGTTAAGCGTCCGACTTCAGCCAGGTCACGATCTCGCGGTCCGTGAGTTCGAGCCCCGCGTCGGGCTCTGGGCTGATGGCTCAGAGCCTGGAGCCTGTTTCCGATTCTGTGTCTCCCTCTCTCTCTGCCCCTCCCCCGTTCATGCTCTGTCTCTCTCTGTCCCAAAAATAAATAAAAAACGTTGAGAAAAAAAAAATAAAAAAAAAATAAATAAAATAAAAAGTACTTGTTGCTGGGGTGCCTGGCTGGCTTGATCGGAGCCATGCAACTCTGATCTCAGGGTCCTGAGTTTGAGCACCACGTTGAATGTAGAGATTCCTAAAGTAAATAAATAAATATATTCAAAGAAAAAGTACTTGTTGTTTATCTGAAATTTAACTGGATGTCCTGTATCTTATCTAATTGTGAAAGACTGAAATCTGGAAGAAATCTGTTATTGATTCAAGGGAATCCCAGCATGAGGACCCCAACTCATATTTATTAAACACTTGTCTATATGCCAGCTTCAGTTCTAAGCCCGTTACATGTATTATCTCATTTAATCCTCACAATAATCTTTTTACTATTTTAATGCAAATTTTACAGGTGGTGAGGTGGAGATACACAGATTAGAAACTTGCCTGAGATCTCAAAGTTAGTTTTTTGTTTGGTTTTATTTATTTTTTAATTTATTTATTTTTGAGAGCAAGAGCTGGGGCAAGGGAAGGGCAAAGAGAGAGGGAGACAGGATCTGAAGCCGTGCTCGAACTCAGGAGCCACGAGATCATGACCTGAGCCAAAGTCAGACGATTAACTGACTGAGCCACCCGGCTGCCCTCAAAGTTAGTTAATGATGAGACCAGGATGTAAACTTGAACAGTCCTAAGCTGCAGAGCCCATATTCTTAACTGCTGCATTATATTGGCTTTAACATCCACTTGTTGGAAATCTTTTGTTCTGGCAGAAATGCAGGCTATAGAGGCGGGGTCTTGGCTCTCAAGGAATTTTTACTTTCTATAGTACAGGTCAGAACTGTGAAAAATTCTCAAGAGATGTGCCAAAAATTGCTGTATAGGAATTAGAGAAAGCAGATAGTTTCTTTTGTTCTTTTTTGTTTGTTTGTTTTGAGAGAGAGAGAGAGAGAGAAGACAGTGCTGCCCGATGCCTGCACCTTGAAAGTGGAAGAACAGAGAGAGAGAGAGAGAGAGAGAGAGAGAGAGAGAGAGAATCTCAAGCGGGCTCCACATCACCAGCGCAGAGCCTCGTGCAAGGCTCAAACTCATGAACCGCGGGATCATGACCTGAGCCAAAGTTGGATGTTTAACCGACTGAGCCACCCAGGCACCCCAGAAAGCAGATAATTTCTGCTTAGAGAAAGAAGGAATAGCTATCTATGTAGACTCCATGAACATTATTCTGAACAGAACTTAAACATTTAGATATTAGCCTTGGTTTTTTTCCTTGAATCTTTTCTAATGCTTAGATTACCTCATGTATCTTACGGTATCTTGTATCTTCCAGTCTTGGCATTGGACTGTACAGAAATTAGGTTATTGGGTCCCCTTTTTCATTTAGCTGGTCTCTATTTTTTTTTATTTTTTTTATTTTATTATTTTTTTTTTTAATATGAAATTTATTGTCAAATTGGTTTCCATACAACACCCAGTGCTCATCCCAAAGCGTGCCCTCCTCAGTACCCATCTTCCCCACCCTCTCCTCCCTCCCACCCCCCATCAACCCTTAGTTTGTTCCTCAGTTCTCAACAGGCTCTTATGCTTTGGCTCTCTCCCTCTAACCTCTTTTTTTTTTTTTTGTTTCCCCTCCCCATGGGTTTCTCTTAAGTTTCTCAGGATCACATAGAGTGAAACCATATGGTATCAATCATCTTCTTTCCATCTCTGTATGACATTTCATAGCATCACTCTCCAGTTCAAATCCGTTGCTACAAAAGGCCATATTTCATTCTCCATTGCCATAAGTAGTACTCCGCATTGTGTATATAAACCACAAATTTCTTTATCCATTCATCAGTTGATGGACATTTGAAACATAATTTGGCTATTGTTGGGGAGTGCTGCTATAGTTGACAGATTTTTAAAGTGCACTATCATCCATTCTCTGTGTGTCCCTTGGATAAATTCCCTAGCAGTGCTATTGCTGGAATTCATAGGAGGTAGATCTATTTTTAATTTTCTGAGGAACCTCCTGCTTTCCAGGCGTACTGCACCGTTACATTCCCCACCAACAGTGCAAGAGGGTTCCATTTCTCATCCTCTCCAGCATCCTATGATCTCCTGATTTGTTCATTTTTAGCCCACTCTGACATTGGCTGCGTGGTGATACCACAGTGTGGTTTTGATTTGTATTTCCCTGATAAAGGCCCTTCGGTGTCTTTTCATGTGCCTGTTGGCCATCCGGATGTCTTCTTTAGAGGTGTCTATTATTATTCATGTTTTCTGCCCATTTCTTCACTGGGTTATTTGCTTTTAAGTGTGAGTTTGGTAGGCTCTTTTATAAATTTTGGATACTAGCCCTTTGATATGTCATTGCAAATATCTTTTCCGTTGGTTGCCTTTTAGTTTGTTGGTTGTTTGCTGCTGTGCAGAAACTTTTATCTTCATAAGGTCCCAGTAATTCACACTTTTGCTTTTAATTCCCTTGCCTTTGGGGATGTGTGATGAGTAAATTTGCTTCTGGCTGAGGTCAGAGGTCTTCCTGCTTTCTTCTCTAAGGTTTTGATGGTTTCCTGTCTCACATTCAGGTCCTTTATCCATTTTGAGTTTATTTTTGTGAATGGTGTGAGAAAGTGGTCTAGTTTCAACCTTCTGCATGTTGCTGTCCAGTTCTCCCAGCACCATTTGTTAAAGAGACTGTCTTTTTTCCATTGGATGTTCTTTCCTGCTTTGTCAAAGATTAGTTGGCCATACGTTTGTGGGTCTAGTTCTGGGGTTTCTATTCTATTCCATTGGTCTATGTGTCTGTTTTTGTGCCATAGCTGGTCATATATTTAGCGACTGTAAGCTTAAAGTGAAAAGAACTGCATTAGTTGGGCTCTTTCATACAGCCTTGGAATTGTACTTGACCTTGGTTGCGTTCATGATGTACCTAAATCCAACCAAAATTTCTGCTACATCCCTTCACTACCTAGTGATTTATCTTCAGTACCTTTTGAGCAAGAGCTTCTCTCCTTATAGCTCACCTTCTTCCCCCAAATAATTAATAAGAATATTAAATGGCACAGTTCCCGGGACAAACCCCTGAGGCCATGCCATTGTTAACATTTCTCTCAAGAGCTATGAACAACAGAGCACTGCACTCACTATCTGGCTTGTGGAGAAGCTCTCAGGAAGGTATGTGTGAGTTTGAATATCAGGCCTGGCTTTTTTTTTTTGTTTTTGTTTTGTTTTTGTTTTTGATCACTCTCCAGGAAATTGAACTTCGCTACCTCTTTCATGTGTTTTCAAGTATCAGATCACAGTGTCTCTTTTCTTCCCATAGAAGATTGAACACCTGTATATAGATTTTTCTGATTTTATTCTCTTTTCGATTATTCAGTAGCCCCATATGAAATATCATCAACACTGGTTTTGCCTACACTTGAATTTTATCTTGAAAAGGCAAATGCCTTAGTAATTGCTTTAATGCCCTAAAATGCCTCATCAAAGGGATTTGCTATTTAATAAAATTAACAACTTTGGAAAATTCTTGGAGCTCAGCTTTTAAAGTCTGGATTTAAATACTCCCTAAGAGATTTTAGGTAAATGGTAAATTTAAGAATAGTGATTGAAATGGGAAAGAGCGGCTGAGTTGTTTTCCTCTTTATTTATTTACTTTTAATCACACGTACAGAACTTCATGAACCACACCTCGCATGCATCATGCTAGCAACTCAAGATAAACATGAGTACAGAGCATTTATTGCCTCATTACGAGTGAAGATTAAACAGAAAAA